ATTGATTATGAGGTGACTAAACTTTAAAAACCTTGTAAATATTGGATGTTTCCTTAAATAGATGTCTTTAAAACGGCTATTTGTGCACTTTATGCTATCTTCCAATAGGCCCCCAATCTGGACCTAATTTTGAGGGGCATTTTCATATATACCCACTTTTGGGGTTACCATTGAAGTTATACCTGCATTGCACAAAAATTTGCATAGTGTAATCGCTCGGAGCTGAAGCAGTTCAATCTCTTCTATTCAACTTTAGAAATCAAATATGAAAATTTTCTATCTTTCAAATACAACTTCAGAAATTCGAATCTGAAATAGTTCAATCTCTTCAATGCAATTTTAAAAAAATAAATATGAAGCTCTTTTATCTTTCAAATGCAACTTCAGAAATTCGAATATGAAGGATTTCAATCTCTTCAATGCAACTTTAGAAATCAAATCTTAAGTTCGTTTATCTTTCAAATGCAACTTTTTAAATTCAAATATTAAATAGTTCAATCTATTGAATGCAACTGCAGATTTCAAATCTTATATTCTGAAATATAAACTTGTTCTTCGAATCTCAACAATACAATAAACAATTCAGTGCCCAAATCTGTTTCCTTGAGCTCATGTCTATACACCTCAAGCCTGAACCATTTGATCGCCAGCTGCGTGACGCGTTTAAGGTCCTAGATGAGGACAACACGGGTTGCATTGTGGTTGTGGATCTTAGGCACATTCTTACCAGTATTGGTGAGAAGCTCGAGCCTTCAGAGTTTGATGAGTGGATCCGAGAGGTCGATGTTGGATCCGATGGAAAGATTAAGTACGAGGATTTCATTGCTCGGATGGTTGCCAAGTGATTTCGCCTATGAGTTTTCTTACCATTTACAAATTCAATGCTTTAAGAAGATTGTTAGTATTTGCGAATTTAAGGTGGTTATTTGGTAGATTTTACCTTTAACGAGAAGTTTCAGTATTTACCTGAAAAACTAATATCCATTGCTTCGAAATGTTTAAAATTTTAATGCATAGTGTAAAAATTATATAGTGAGTATATTTTTGCTTTTGAGATTATGCAATTTTCAAATAAAATTTACAAACAGCTACGAGGAAATATTTTACACGCATACAAATTTATGTAAAATTAACATTAAAAATGCACTCATAAAGTTGCGTGCTTTACTTCAATAGTTGCATGGGAGAATTAAAAAGCATTGCCTTGAAATATATAAGCATTTTGCATTTTTGGACATTATTGAAAATTAAAAACTTTGCTTTTGAGGGCAAATGCAGTTGTCGAATAATTGAGAGTTTTTTGTTATGTTCAAAGAATGAAGAATCTACTCCTTGGTTTATGACTGTTGAAATTAAGTAGAGAGAAACATGGAGTAGAAATCTAGAATGTACATTATAGAACAAGGTAGATAGAATGTAAGCGACAAAGATGTAGTTAGAAGTTTTCGTATTTTTTATCTTCATTTTCGGCCATTCTCGGAAGTAAATGTAGGGAAACGACACGGGAAAATAACAACAATAATATTATTTGTAAGCAGATACACGATTTGGTTTGAATTGTGCTGGGCACTGTCTTAAGAAACTATTTCAGTAATGTGAAATATTTTTCCATGATTAAACAAGCTCATCTCTATTTATTTAGAAAATATATGAATCAACAAAATTAATATACCATCAAGTTGTTAAAGGAAACAAATAAAGTATCTATCGAATATAGAAATGAGTGGAAACTTAAAAAGAATATTGGAATGAAAGAAAGAGAGCAAGTAGTGAATTGAAGCTAATGATTAGCTTTTCTCTTGGTGTTTCATCCGTAGAAATTGAAAGCTTATTTTTAAGCTCAATAATAATAATTGCTTAAGACAAGTGTTATGTATGTTCTACCACTTGGTACTTGGCTTATGCCGCTTAACCAAAACTAAGAAAAAGGATGCCACATGTTAGATATTGAAATAGCCAAAGACACTTGTGGAATTTCTCACATGCATAGTAGTCACTTATCATACTTCTTTTGCCACTTATCACAGGATTCTAGAATGGCTAAGACATTTGTCATTTAGGCTTTAAAATAGATATGACATTTGTAAAATAAAAGGACACTTGGCTATTTAATTTTTAAAAATACTACCACAATCCCCACATATTTTCAAATATTTATAGGAAAAGGCTAAAGGAATGGAAGAATTAACAACTTGCTAGATTTGCATGGTCCAAATGTAATAGGTTTGGTGTCTTCTGGACTATGAACCAAACTTAGACCAATAAAATTTAACTCACAGAATTACTGGTGAAATGTAATATTTCTATGAACCAATAATTATTATTGTAAGTCGAAGATTTTATCAATCACATTTTGACCCCCGGTAATTTTGCTGTTAAACGCGGTTTTGCGCCCAGTAGGCCATGCGCGTGCCTGGTTATTCATGAGAGCTCTAGGGACTAGGCTAAATTTTATAGCATCGGCCCACTCCACTCTCATATAGGTGAATTCATCAAGTGTATACTGCTTTTAAATACACCATCCATACGGACTATGAATTTCATTAAGAGTTATAACTCAACCTCTCAATTGGTAGCAGTCAAACACTCCTTTTTAGTGCACCAGTGCCAATATCGACTTGTTATTACCCATATGAACATAATTCATGGGATCTCAAATCATATAGGTTGGGTTACCATCTTTATTGACAACATGTCGGCCTTAAACCCATCTCTTTTGAGGTTTGAAGAATTAGTTTTCTCCCCACTGGTTTAGTGAGAGGATCGACCAAATTTATCTCTGACTTCATATAGTCAATGGAAATTATTCCATCTCTCAGCAGCTGCTTTATGACATCATGTCTCAATTTCATGTATCTACTTTTAGATTTATTCTTTGCTATAGCTATTGCCGCTTGGCAATCACAATGTATAGACACATAAGACAATACGTCCTTTATTAAAGGGATATTAGCTGAGAAGTTTCTAAGCCACGCAGCCTCAGAACCAGCTAATTCCAGAGCTACAAGCTCTGATTCCATAGTCGATCTAGCAATGATCATCTGTTTAGATGATTTTCACGATATTGCACCACCACCAAGGGTGAATACATAACCACTAGTGAATTTTGTCTCATCTGAATCAGAGATCCTGTTTGCATCACTGTACCCTTCTAAAGTAGAAGGAAATCCACTATATAGGATACCATAATTCATGGTTCCTCTCAAATATTTCATTAGTCTATCTAATGCAGACCAATGATCTCTGTTGGGATTATGAGTATATCTACTCAGTCTGCACACAACATAGGCTATATCAAGACTTGTAAAATTTATTATATGTATCAGACTCTCAATAATCTGCGCATATTTTGACTGAGCAACTGGGTCACCATTATTCTTTTTCAACTGAGAGTTAGCATCAAAAGGAGTGCTCACAGATGTGATATTAAAATATTCAAATTTTTAAGAAGCCTCTCAACATAATATTCTTGTGACAACATTATTCCATCTTCACTTCTTATAACTTTAACTCCCAATATTATATTTACTTCACCCAAATCTTTCATATCAAAATTAGCAGACAAAAATAATTTAGTACTTTGCACAATATTTAAACTTGTACCAAATATAAGCATGTCATCTATAGACATATTATCACATAATTATTATTTACCACTTTAGTATAAACACATTTATCTACCTCAACTGATGAAAAATAGTTTCTCAGTAAGACTTGTTCAAATTTCTCATACCACTGCTTAGGAGCTTGTTTAAGGCCATAAAGAGATTTAATTAATTTACAAACTTTATTTTCTTGTCCCGAAAAGAGACAACCTTCAAGTTGAACCATATAAATTTCTTCTTCTAAATCACCATTTAGAAAAGCAGTTTTGACATCCATTTGGTGGATAAAAAGCTTATAGATTGAAGCTAAGGCAATTAAAACTCGAATAGAAGAAATTCTAGTCACTGGTGCAAATGTATCAAAATAATCTATATTTTATTTTTGAGAATTTTTTTTTTCTACTAACCGAGCTTTATATTTATCTAAAGATCCACCAGGCTTAAATTTCTTTTTGAAAATCTATTTACAACCAATAGGTTTTGCACCAGGAGATAAATCAGTTAAAATCCATGTGTTATTTTTTAAAATAGAATCGATTTCAACTTTTATTGCCTCTTTCCAATATTTAGCATCTGAAGAAGATATAGCTTCAAAATAATTTGATGGTTCATTATCGACAAGAAAAGTTTGAAAATCATTTCCATAAGAAAAAATATTCTTTTGTAGGCCTTTTGCTCTTTCTCAGTTCCTCATTAGAGATAATTTCACTATTTGTTTCAACAGGTGTATGAGAAATTTTATCAGACAATGGATAAATATATTCAAAGAACTCAGCATTCTTTGTCTCAGTTATAGTATTGCAATCAAGCACATCACTTTTTAAAATAAAAAATCTATATGCAACACTATGTTCAACATATCCAATAAGCATGCAATCAGCAGTTTTAGAACCTATTTTTTCCTTTTTAGGTTCAGGCAAAATAACTTTAGCAAGACACCCCCACACTTTTAAATATTTCAAGTTAGGTTTATAACCCGTCCACAATTCATAAGGAATTTTTTCACTTCTTCTGTGTGGTGTGAGCACCTAATTTTTTACCATACTTGTGATTTTTCAACACTTTTTAGTATGTAAATAATTTTAAGTTTAATCTACATATTTTAACCTTAACTTCATTTTTAGTAGGTTTTATTTAAGAAAATTAAAAATCAAAAAAATTATATGTTCTTGATTTTAAAATATTTAGCTAGTATTTTTATTTTACACTCTTAAAAAAAATATATTAATTAAAGCAAGAGTCAATGAGTCATTTCCATGTGACAAGATTCTTCCTTATATTTTGTAACAAACTCACATACTCTCTCAAAAAATGCACATGCCCATACACCTTCTATTTCTTGGCCACCAATTAATCTCTATACCTAGATCTATGTATTTAACACTCACCCAACACACAAAGGGATAGATCTGAAAATAGAGAGAAGGGGGAGGGGGCAAAAATAGAGACAAAAAAGAAAGAGAGATAGACGGAACAGACCCCTCTTCGACAGAGAACCCTAGCGCCGCCCCTATCTCACTCTCATTCTTTCACTCCCACACCCTCCTCTCATCACACACGCGAAAAGGCACTCAATATAGGCTAGAAACAAAACTTTCAAAAGCTCAAAATTCTTAAAGTGCTATTTGAAGTTCCGAAAAAAAGGAAATTAGCTAAAAATACATAGGATTGAGATCTGAAATAAAAAAAAAAACAGTAATGAAAGGGAATTTCAAAATAATTCTATCTCCTACTGTTCACTCTGCATCTCCTGGGCTATCAACGCCTCGAGAGTTGTTGTGGGTTTTTTGAGCTTTTCCGATCTTAGTCGTCGGTTCGAGTTCTTGTCGCAGTTCGACTTGCCGTTTCTGAAATTTTAAAGCTCCGGTGGAACTTCTAATGTTATTGAAGAGAATTGTTCAATAAAAGGTTCGTTTCTTAGTTTTTTTTATTTTTCTTTTTGGATATTGATTCATATAATGTTTCGCTGTATTTTTTTTTCTTCCGAATTTTCTTCTTTGTTATCTATTCATTTTGGTTGATGTTTGTCTTATGCGTATTGGTGTACTGCTTTCATTTGGTTAATTATAAAGGTTATAATGGTTGCCATTTCATCTTTCTTCATGTCGGCTATTTTCTTTCATTGATTTGGTTTATGTGTGAGAATATCTCTACTTATTTTTTTTTTTAGTTCAGAATGTATAATGTCTTGAGTCTTCCAATTTTGATTAGAATTTTTATTGCTCATTTGTGAAAGATTTAATGGCAGTAGGTTGTGTTTTAGTTTGTGCTATAACAAAGTGAGTTATGGGTTTTAGCTTAATTATTCATAGGTTGTTCGGGAAATATTTGAGAAAGCCATAGGATTTGTTTGAGAATTAATTTGGGCATGTGAGGTTTTAATTTGATGTAATAGACCTAATGGTTTATTTTCGTTTGGTCCAATTTAATAAGGGTAAAATTGTTGTTAACATACTTATTAAGGATGTGTTGAACTCATAAACCTTTCCACAATAATACTTTCTTAATGGTTTATTTTCGTTTAGTCCAATTTAATAAGGGTAAAATTGTTGTTAACATACTTATTAAGGATGTGTTGAACTCATAAACCTTTCCACAATAATACTTTATTATAAATCACGATCTCAAAACAATCTCAAATGTAGCAATTAATTATGAACATCATAGCTTGCTTTAAGACGCAAATAATAAATCATAGTGGCCATGGGTACGGTTCCCGTGACATGGTCACGATACGTAAATCCTAATTCGAGTGTGCGTTTCACATGACTAGATCAGAACTTCAAACAATAATAATAAAAATAAACATGTTGTAAATCGCGGGTGCATTTCATGTGGCGCGGTTTGCAATGTGTATCAAAACGACAAGTGTACGACATCGTGACTTGTTCCACAAATAAATTCCATAAATATTAAAAGCGATATAAAAGCAGTAATGCACAAAAGGTTTCAAATATATATAAATCAGATAATTAGGCCAATTATTACTAGTTAAGCGACCGTGCTAAAACCACGGAACTCGGGAGTGCCTCACACCTTCTCCCGGGTTAACAGAATTTCTTACCCGGTCTTCTGTGTTCGCGGACCATAAATAGAGTCAAACTTCCTCGATTTGGAATTTAAAATAAACCGGTGACTTGGGACACCATAAATTATTCCAAGTGGCGACTCTGATAAATAAATAATCCAATTTCGATTAATGTCACTTAATTTGGAAAAACTCTCTTATCCCCTATCCCCCTCGGGAAAAAGGAGGTGTGACATGTGGTATTCTATTTTGCAAGTGACAAACAGATAATATAGCTTTACCCCACAAATTATCAGGAGCATTAAAACTAACTAACATAGAGTTCATCATCTCTTTAAATGTTCTATTTTTCCTTTTAGCTACTCCATTTGACTCAGGTGAATAAGGCGGAGTTACTTCATGAATAATTCCATTCGTTTCACAAAAATCATTTAAAGAAAAATATTCTCCACCTCTATCAGATCTAATTCTCTTGATTCTTCTACTAAGTTAATTTTCAACCTCAGTTTTATAAGAAATAAAAGCATTAAATACATCATCTTTATTTCTAAGCAAATACAACTTAGTATATCTAGAAAAATCATCAATAAAAGTCACATAATATCTTTTACCACCTCTAGTCATAGTCTTCTTCAAATCACCTAAATCGGTGTAAATTAAAGATAACAATTCAGTTTCTCTACTTACAGAAAAACAAGTCTTTCTAGTACTTTTAGCTTCAACATATGTTTCACACTTATCAATATTATTTGAGTCTAAACCAGATATTAATCCTAGTGATTGTATTTTCTTTATATACGTGACATTAACATGTCCTAGTCTAGCATGCCACAAAGAAATTGACTCAACCATATAAGTAGAAGAAGATGCATTTTTATATCTAGTATCAAAAATATTAAGACACAAATAAACTATGGTTACAATATCCATTGCCCACAAAAATATTATTTTTGGTCAATATGACCTTATCATTCTCGAAAGAAACCTTTACTACAACTTTTTCTAATAATCCCACAGAAACCAAATTGGTTTGGTTATTAGGTACATGCAATACATCACTCAATTCTAGAGTTTTACCAGATGTGAGTTTGAGAAATTTTTTTCCTTTCCCAAGAACGCGAGTTGTTCTTGAATCACCAAGATAAATAGTTTCTTCTCCTTCCTCAACTTGGGTGTAAGACAAAAATTTATTTTTATCTGTACAAATGTGCCTAGTAGCACCAGAGTCTATCACCCAATTTCTCACATTGGCCACATTATTTATTTGGAAAATGACCGCAACAATTATATTATCCGCTTTAGTCAAATTTAATTTTGACTTAGCGAAATTGTCATTTATCTCAACTCTTCTCTTGCATTGAGGTACATTTTTCTTGAAGGTTTTAATATTAGCATTGGATATATAACCATATCTATTTACATACCTCCATTTTGATATCAATGTCTGCTCAAATTGTAGATGCAATAACGTATTTGCAACACTATGGATATCTGGCAGGACAATTGGAATAGTAGCAGCACAGATAATACCAAAATTGGTAGCACCATCAAAAATTTCCGTAGTAGTATTACTTGCCATAGTTTCATAGATTGTAGGAAAATGACACCGAAAAATAACAATAATAATAATAGTAATAATAGTACAATAATATTATTTGTAAGCAGATACACGATTTGGCTTGAGTCGTGCTGGGCACTGTCCTAAGAAACTATTTCAACAATGTGAAATATTTTCCCAGGGTTAAACAAGCTCATCTCTATTTATTTAGAGGATACAAAAATCAACAAAATTAATATACCAGCAAGTTGTTAAAGGAAACAAATAATGTATCTATTGAAGATAGAAATGAGTGAAAACTTAAAAAGAATATTGGAATGAAAGAAAGAGAGCAAGTAGTGAATTGAAGCTAATGATTAGCTTTTCTCTTGGTGTTTCATCGGTAGAAATTGAAAGCCTATTTATAAGCTCAATAATTACAATTGCTTGAGACAAGTGTTATGTCTCCTCTGCCACTTGGTACTTGGCTTATGCCACTTAACCAAAACTAAGAAAAAGGATGTCACATGCTGGATATTGAAATAGTCAAAGACACTTGTGGAATTTCTCACATGCATAGTAGCCACTTATCATACTTCTTTTATCACTTATCATAGGATTCTAGAGTGGTCAAGACATTTGTCATTTATGTTTTAAAATAGATATGACATTTATAAAATAAAAGGACACTTGACTATTTAATTTTTGAAAATACTACCACAGTAAAAAGGGAAGATTTTTCGTCCATTTGGGTGAATGTTGTTACTTTTGGTTCTGCTTAAGAAACTCTTTTCTCTTCGTTAGCAATATCAGTCCTTGGCCTTTGTTTTCGTCTGCCACATTCATGAGTTATTTATGGCCTTCATATTCATCAAGAGTTTTTGAATATTTTAGAAATTTTCGAGATGCAAGTTACATTTGAAATATAGTCGTAATTGAGTTGGGATTGAAATATTGACTGTCATAAAAAAATATTGTACAAAAGGTTTTTAAGGAAGGTCATGAGCTTACTTGAACATGATATGTCTATAAGCTTGTACAGTCGTATTGTATCTTTGAGTTCTAAGGAGATGGATTTTAAACTGTGAAAACCGGTAGAGTCCGGTGTAGTTTTTTGAGAGATGGTTGAGGGAGATGATGATGAGTTACAATAACGTATGGTGATTTTGGTCATATATGATAATCAAGGTAGCAAAGTGTGACAAATTTTGCTTGTCGGTAGGACCAAATGGTATTTGATGAAAGGCAGTTGTGCTCTGATATTCTTGTAATATTTTCCTTATTTGGTTTATCAAAGTTTCATTTCTTTGCAAATTGTGCTTGTTATTTTGATAACAAGTATAAGCAACTGGGAATATGTTAAAAATATTTTTCATCTTAATTAAGTGGAGCTTTCAGTAAACTTTGATGCACTATTTCATTGAAAAGTAATCAATAAGTATATAACCCCTGAATGTGTTTTGGCCAGAGATATGTTGAGAAAATTGCATATTGGGTCAAATTATTTTTATGTTTTCTTGTAAACGAAAAGAAGAAATTTTTAATGTGTTATAACTTAGTGACAACGCCTTCTTAATTGCAAGTCTGAGTTTAAACTTTCAGATCAAAAACGTTTTTTTTCATATGCAGCAAGTTCACCAATTAAATTCTTCTAAATGACTTCCTTATAAATCTTTGTCTATTCTGATTCATACCCAAATTATAACTTAATGTATTTTGTATTTTCGAAAGACCTCTTCAAAGTTGGTTCTTTTCATACATCCCATTTGCCAAAAGAATATCAATAAAGTAAGTTGAATTGAGAAGATAGGATTGCTCTAGTGGTAAGCACCCTCCACTTACAACCAAGAATTTGTGAGTTCGAGTCACCCCAAGAGCAAGATGGGGAGTTCTTTTCGGGAGGGAGCCCGGGGGTCTATCGGAAACGGTCTCTCTAGCCCAGGGTAGGGATAAGGTCTGCGTATATAATACCCTCCACAGATCCCACTAATGGGATTATACTGAATTGTTGTTGTTGTAAGTTGAATTCAGTAGAGATTGCAGTCTAAACTTTTGAAAATAGAAAAAGAATAGGATCGCTCTACTTCCATCCTAACTGAAAGATGTTTCATGATCTAGATGTTGTGTCTCATGAAATTGTTCATTCCTCGTAGAGAACAAAGATTAATTGTGTCTTATGCCTCCGAAGAATAAGAAAGCAGTCGTGTGTTGTCTGTTCATTCTAATTTTCTTTGGCAATCAGATCTTATCAATTTTATTAGTTATAGATTATTTATTTTAATTTGCATAATACATTACTCATGTAAACTTGTTGTTATGTCAAAATCTTATATTCGCTCTATGATTGTAATTAATTGGGACAAACATGAGTTTTTGATGGCTCATTACATTAAATCAGAGCGCTCGAAATACTAGGTCAAATTTGTGAAAGTGCATTACTTTGTCGATCCAAAATACAGAAGATAATGATGTTATTTTATAACGGCTCGGCCGGTCGTTTTGAGTATTACAACCTCGTTCCCCCATTTACTGTTTATCCTATGTCAAATTATAATTATGTGACTTATCGGGGAAGTTTCAGAATGAATTGGAATACTTAGTTCCAAGAATTAAAGTTTAAGTGAAAATAGTTGACCGGATGTTGATTTATGTGAAAACGACCCCGAAATAGAGTTTTGGTGATTTCAATAGCTCCGTATGGTGATTTTGGACGTCCGAAAAATTATTTGGAAGCCCGTAGTTAAATTAGGCTTGAAATGGCAAAAATAGGAAGTTTAAGTTTGGAAGTTTGACCGTGGAGTTGGCTTTTTGATATCGGGGTAGGAATCCAGTTCTGAAAATTTTCATAGGTCCTATTATGTCATTTATGACTTGTGTGCAAAATTTGAGGTCAATTGGACTTGATTCGATAGGTTTCGGCATCGAATGTAGAAGTTGGAATTTGTTAGTTTTTATTAGGCTTGAATTGTGGTGCAATTCGTGGTTTTTGCGTTGTTTGATGTAATTTGAGGCTTCGACTATGTTCGTATCGTGTTTTAGGATTTGTTAGTATATTTGGTTGGGGTCTTGGGGGCCTCAAGTGTGTTTCGGGTATTATCGAATCATTTTTGGGCTACTTTGGATGCTGGTTTTCTGATGTCTGGTATTGTGCTTCGCGTTCGCGAAGAAGGATTTGCCTCCTGGGATTTTGTTCTTCGCATTCGCGAAGAGACTCTCGCGTTCGCGAAAAAGGAATTCCTGTTGTCCGTTACCCGACTTCGGAAGCTTATATCTTGCAATCTATAAGAATTTTGGCGATGATCCAAAAATAAAAGTTGTAACCCTTTGTGTCTAGTTTTCGGAAAAGCAAACTATTTATCATTTGGAGTTGTGTACAAAATGTTAAGGTGGATACACTACATGCTGTCCTGGAAGAGTTTGGAAATCGCGAAGAAGAAATTTTCGCTGCACAGGGTTGACTTTAGAAGCTTATATCTCTAAATCTATAAGGAATTGGGAGATGAGCAAAACATGAAAGTTGTAGCCCTTGATGTCTAGTTTTCAGAAAGTTAAACCATTTATCATTTGGAGTTTTGTACAAAATGTTATGACCATTAAATTAGAGGCTATCTTGTAAGAGTTTGGAAATGGCTGTTGAGGAATTTGTTCATCACGAACGGGAGAGGATGATCGCAAACGCGAAGAACAAACCCCTAGGCAGCAAATTTAAGTTCCATTTTTAATGATTTGGAGCTCGGGGAGAGGTAATTTTCAGGAGATTTTTAAAAAAAAAATAATGGGGTAAGTGTTCTTAACTCAAGTTTGGTCAAATTACCCGAATCTATTGCTATTTTTAGCATTTAATTGGTATTTTAAGTTGAAAATTTTGTGAAAACCCTTAAGTTTAAATTGAAGATTTGAGGATCGAGTTGATGTCGGAATTTGGTAAATTTGGTATAGTTGGACTCGTGGTTGAATGGGCGTTTATATTTTATAACTTTTGTCGGGTTCCGAGACATGGGCGCCACTGACGATTTTTGAGTGGAATTTCGAATTTTATTTGAAAATTAGTATTTTCACATGGAATTAATTCCTATAATTTACATTGACTGAATCAAATTAATTGTGACTAGGTTCGATACGCTCGGAGGCCGATTCGCGAGGCAGGGGCATATTGGAATAAAGAATTACACGATTTGAGGTAAGTAACATTTCTAAACTTGGTTCTGAGGGTTATGAATCCCTGAATTTTATGTTATATCAATTGTTTGTAGGTGACACACGTGTGGACATGCACCGTAGAAATTGTGATTTAATTGATTCTGTGGAGTTGCATAATTAAATAAATGTCATTATCCACATATACTCCACGTGTTAGAGAAATTGAACTGAGACTCATATTGAAGATCATGTTCAGGCTACGTGCCGATATTTTTAGGACCCACATGGGTCGTATTGCTGTGGAATTATTTGTTTAAACTGTAATTGTGTACTCAGTCACATCCATCATTTGTATATCATATCTCAGTCTCTGTTGTCATTCATTGATACATCATATCATCATGTCGGGTTGATTTTCATGTCATTGAGAGCCCGAGAGACTGGAAATTTTTAGTGATATTTATGGAATCGGGTTGCACGGCACAACATATTTTATTTATTTATGCCTGGATTTGGCTTATTATGGAGTTTGGGTAAAAGGAGTCCCTCTGGAGTCTGCACCCCCACAGTGAGCGCAATTTATTTATATTAGGGATGGAGTTCCATAGGCATAGAGTTGTCTTATTTATTTATATTAGGGGTTGAGTTCCCTAGAAATGGAGTTGCCTTATTTATTTACATTTGGGATGGAGTTCCCTAGGCATAGAGTTGTCCTATTTTTACTTATACTTGGGATGGAGTTCCCTCGGCTAGATTGGTCTTGTACAGTACTGAGTGACTAATTGTCAGTTGATACATATATATATGGGATGAAGTTCCCTAGGCTGGATTGGCCATATACAATATTGAGTGATTGAGTATTTTAAGAGTGTGAGTACACGATGTTTCCATTGTGGTACATCACATACAACATATATTTTGGCATGTAGATATAGAGATGTCATATTCCTCATATCATGCAGAATTTATCTATTTTACTTGTACTGAGTTTAACTGTTGAATTGGAAAGCATGCCTACATTTCTGTACTAGACTATACCCGTTGAGCTCGTCACTACTTTCAGCCCAAATATTAGACTTGTTACTTATTGAGTTGGTTATACTCATACTACATCTTGCACCTCGTGTACAAATCCAGGTACTTCCGGAAATGACGGTTGCCAGATTTGAGGATTTATCTGTTGGAGACTATCAAGGTAGTTGCTTGGCGTCCGCAGGCCTTGACTCTCTTTCCTTTCAGTTATTGTACTGTTCTATATTTTCAGACAGTATTTTTATCAGTCAGACTTTGTTATTATTTTGATACTTATGTACTTAGTGACACCGGATTTTGGGAGTATTTTATATTAGTATTTGTGAGATTTTTATATTGAATGTAAATATGATATTTTCAAACTTAAAGAAATTGTAGTTTATTGAGGTTGTTGATTTACCTGGTATTAAACGCCATCACGACAAGTGTGATTCTGGGTCGTCACACATTTATAATTGAAACAGGGCTTCCCTTCGGATTCCCCCTTGTTTCTTGGTAGTCCTCTATGCATCCAGAACTTCTGTTTAATGATGAACCACAATTAACTATTAGAGTTCATGAACTATAAAAAGAATCCAGCAGTATTAGAAGAAGTGTCTATCTCTCCACTCCTTACTCTACCCCAAACACCTTAATCAATTTAGTCCTGTTAAGTTTAACTAGTAAAGAGGAAAAAGACAGTCTTGAGGCTCCATCTTATGTGTTGCGTGGTAGTCTTTCAACTTATACAACTTTGTTATGTGAAAGTAGATTGATGTTTTCCTTAATACCACTGCAAATTTTCCTTGTTGTATGTGGACGATTAAGGGAACAACATGACTTATCTTTTTAAATAGCTTTTTTATTTCAGCTCCATGTTATGTACTTTACTAGAAAAATTTGGCTATAATGAACTCATGTTCTCCCAATGTTGGTGTTATGAGAGGATAACGGGAATGAAAGTGCTTATTAATTCAAGCAAAGCATAAATATTTTTTCTTCCGTCTCAAAAAGAATCACCGGGTTTGCAGGTACGGGACAAGTTGGCCCGACACCACCAATATCCAAAAAAAACTTGAAAGCTCTTTTACATGACTTGTTCAAGCCTGTAAATTGGTTGCTGAAAAATTAAATGGCAGCCAATAAGACATTATAATTTTGGATAAAACTTGATGCATTTTATGTCATGCTATCATTTTGAGCTTCAACTCAGTACAGAGTGTTTGCGTTTGATAGGAATTACTTTAATGCTTCAAAAATCAACTAATTCTCTTTCTTTGGAATTTCATATGCATATGATTGTGATCTTGGGTTGTAACATTCATTGCACGAAAGAAAGCACATGACTTCGCGTATTTGTAGCTTGGTTTTTCATTTGTCAGATTCAAGTGCATCTGATTTACAATTTTCATAGTACCGATTTTGTTGTTTTCACTTGTTTACTATATCATTGAACAATTTCTGATTCAGATGTCCATAAGGCATCCTGTGTGTGATTTTTGGTATCCTGAACCATAATCTTCTTGAACCTAAAAGTACAATTGCTTCTTCCTTTGTGTATAGTTTAGATGCCTGGTAGCTTAAACTCATCCTTTCAGTGTTTCTGCTTTCGTTTATCCTAATGAAACCTTTAAAATATTTATTGAAAATGACATTATTGTGCTAGTTAAAGAAAACTTTGCAGTGTCTCTTGTGACATTTAAGAAGGAAAAAATGATAGATGGACCGTCTTTTTTTTGTGTGTGGTTATATGCTATTTCTACTTGTAACTCAAAAGAAAAATGGAGATCTAATATTGAGCAGGACTTGATAAACAGTTAAGAACTATCTGTAACAGATGGTTTTTAATTTATCGAAATTATGTATTTCTATTGAACATTTGTGATTCAGATGCTTGATAATTATAATTGGCTTTAGGCAAACGGGAAAATTACAAATGGTCATTTTTAGCCCCTGCAACTGAAAAATAGTCAATGTTTTGGAGTTTATTTGGTGGAATTTGAAACTTAAGGACAATGCTTATTTTACAAAGACGGGGCCCAAAAGTGCTCAGTTGGTGATTGAGAGCTACTTCTAATCGGCAACTGACAAGCTAACAGACAATGATCCAGGTCCAGGTCCATTTTATGGTCCATCTTTATTGTAAGTGGCACCGGCCAGTGTTTTAAAAGGCGTGTGCATAAGGCGGGGCATTTTATATATACCTCAGCGGGGCGTAAGCTCTATAGGTATTTAATTTTTAATATTTTATAAAATAATATAATGACAATTAATATTTATAAACAAGTAAAATTGCATAAAAATTAAAGAAAACTATATATGTGTGTGCTCCATCCCCACAAAAAATTAATCAAAACAATTTATTATACGTTACTTACAAGCACAAGTAATTTGAGTCTAAAAGAATAAAGTTTTCTATATGGAGGAACAAAAAGGATGATTAACCTGCAATTTGAACTTTGAATTTGCTGCTATGAAAAAAAAATGTAGCTCTCTTTGTATTTATAAAAAAAATTAAATATTCGTTGCTTTTGGGAGATATTAGCAGACTAGCGGACAAGATAAAAATTTGGGAACACCATGAATTAGGGCTTAAATCAATAAAAAAAAGGTCTTTACTTTTAAATTTAATACTTTTGAGTTCCTTTTTAAACCTTTTGAGTAATTACCAAACTCACTTTTGAGAATTTGGGTATTATATGAAGGACTAATTCAACAAATTTTATTTTAATTTGAAAAAGTCTCTGGGGCTTACTCCTTACTAAAAAAACGTGCCTCGAACGCCCGGGCGTACACCCCTTGAGGCTTACTCCTTACTAAAAAAACGCGCCTCGAACGCCCGGGCGTACACCTCTTGAGACTTTTGCCCCACACCATCGCCCCGAGGCTCGCCCCCGAAACGCTTTTTAAAACAGAGGCGTCAGGTAGCTACTTTGAGACGCTCCTATTTAAAATATATCAAACTTTTAAAAATTACTTAAAGTTTAGCTAATTTTAAACAACTTCAAATTGCTCGTTACTACAACTTTTTCTTTTTCAGTAAACTCGCCAACAAACATAGCAATTACTGAATCACCTCCTTTTCTGCTTAGCCCATCACTAGCGGAGCTTTTCTATATTAAGTAGAATTATATTATGGCAAAATTAGTCACTCTAAAACAACCTTCTCGAAAAAGAATTGTGTTATCCCTTCTCTCCCTTCGATCCCTATAGTGCAAAAGAGTTGTTAGTGATCCCTAAGTCGCAGCATGCTCGATTCTTAATCATTTCGGTTACTCCCTTTCCTGAACCATAAATATCGCGAAGTATATAATATTAAAATCTTATTACTAGACGAGACCAAAATAAGGGTGGAAATGACATTACGTAGCCACTTTCACGCATGTTATTTAAATACATCCATATTTTATAATATATTTAAAGATTAGTCAATTTTCTCAAACTTTAAGGCACGTCGTCCTAAAGTTTAAACCTTAAAATTCAAACTTCAGGACAACGTGTTCTAATGTTCGAAAATTATGTCCAGAAAATAAATCTTATGTCCTAAATTTCAAATTATGAGTTCATAATAAGCCTGTGAATCAGGTCGGGCCAGCCCAATCACAGCCTGGTTCGATCTGGTTCAGCCCGGTACGCTAGGGGTGGGGACGGGTTCGGGAGGGTTGGGCAGGGATCCGGGCGAGAACGAACAAATTTTGGTAACCGGTACCCCAGAACCCGGTTAGACCAGTTGCTCGTTACCGGGTTTTTACCGGGCTACAGCCCGGTCTAGTCCGGTTACCATTATAAAAAATTTTAAATTAATTTTTGGACTGTTGCCAACGGTCAAATTCAAAAATGATCGTTGGGCAACGGCCATTGTTTGCAAAAATAGTCATTTCGGACTACCCCTTAAGAAAATAGCCCCTTCACCCCTAATAATTGATAAATTATAATTTTAACCTTTTAAAAGTTATAAATAGCCCTCCTTCTTCTTCGTTTTTCCTCACAATTTGCTCTCACTACTCTAATTCTCTCTCACAATTTGCTCTCTTACTACTCTAATTCTCTCTTAATAATATTGCTTATTGCTCTTATATTCTCAATTACTTATTATTTCAAGTTTCATCAAATATTTACTTTAGTCACTATAAAATTTTAATTATCAAATATCAAGTATTCAAGTGAAGTGTGGTATCAATAATTCAATATTCAATATCATCAAATATCAAGTATCAGTCTATCAACTGAAGTTTAATATTAAATTTAGTGCGGCATCCGGAATCCCGGTACACTCATTCCATCTCTTTCTCTTCTTTGGTGTATATTTTTATTTTATTATTTAGAATTACTAATTTAATTTACATAATGGATATATTTAGAGCAGCCAAAAAAGCGTGTACTAGTAGGGGTGGTAGTATTAAGAGTAAAACTTCTAAAAAAATTAATAAGTGGTACTGGTTCTTCTAGTAGCTTTACACATATTTTTGAAAGGTCACCTAAAAATTTAAATGTAGATTATGAGTGACTTCAAGAAAATTATGGTATAGATGATAATTTAGATGATATCCAATCACATGATAATCTTGAAACACCACCAGCTACAACTGATAATACTAGTCAAACTCAAAATACTATGGGTGGAGGTCGTGGTAATACATGTAGGCCTCCCCTCCCTATTAAGAGAAATCGAAGATTAAGAAGTAAGTGTTAGAATTTTTTTGAAAGACTAGAAGAAGATAAAAATTATGTAAGATGTCAAATTTGTAAGAAAGTTTATAAACATGAGATCGGAGGTAAGGCAGAGGGAACGGGTCAACTTCATAGGCATATGGTAGATAACCATCCTATTGATGCTGATGAGGAAGGCGGGCAACAAAAACTTAACCCGAGTACTGGCGGTTTAATGGGTAAATATGATATAGTGAAATATCGGGAAGAATTAGCTAAAATGATTGTTTTAGGTTGTTTACCTTTTAGTATTGCTGCTTTACCATGCCTTGTTACTTATATTCAGTGAATTTATAACCCTTTGTTTAAAGGTATTCCTAGAAGTACTTGTAGAGCTGATATCTTTAGGCTTTTTGGACAATATTAGACATATATCCGTTACTTGTTCGTCAGTCTTTCTTGTATGGTTTCTCTTACTTCTGATATTGGTCGTGCTGTAAATGAAAATGATTATTTGACTGCTATATACCATTGGATAGATGATAATTTTTGTATGCAAAAACATATTATTGCTTTTAAATATGATGAATATCAAAGTCATACTTGTGCA